GGGTGTGTGTGTGCGTGTGTAATGCTCGCTGTAGCATTTGCAGATATATGACAAACAGCGTGGGGTGTTTGGGGAAACTGCCAGAGGTCCAGTGTAACCAGGCTTCAGACTTGACCGGCCAACCCAAGGAGCCTGGATTTCAGTCTGGAGGTGATGGGGAGCCACTAAAGGACTTCAAGCTTGAGGGTTTATGGTCAGATCTGAATTCTAGGATGCTCACACCAGCTGCCACTGGCACAGAGGATGGGGCGACTGTGCCGGCAGCAGTGCCCTGGTAGATGATGCGGCAGTGACGGGGGAAGGAGAAAGGAGGACTTGAGGCATATCAGGAGAAAGCACGGACAAGGCAGGCAGAGCCTGGACGCAGAGGTGAGCCAGGACCTCAGCGGCCTGGAGGAGTTCACTTTTCCCTGATGACAATTCAGGCCCACCTTCCATAGGTCTCCCTCAGATGCCTGCAGAGTGGCCGGTGAGAATGAGCCAGGGGTCTCACCCCAGGACAGAGCTTCTCACCCTCACCTACGGGCAGGAGGGGAGGAACGCTGGGGTCAGCTGGGAGTCAGTGGGACAAAGCGTGTTTAGCCACAGCAAGGCAAGTGGGAACACACCAGGCATGACAGGGTGGAGCAGTTCTTCCCACACACCAGCAGGGGAGACCCCCGTGTGGTGCTGGGCAGAGGGACGCACAGCAGCTGGAGTTCAGAGGCCTGCAGGCTCAGCTCTGGGGGGACACTCAGAGGCAAGGGCCTTCATTACTCATATTCACTTGGGCCAGAGAGATGCGCCACTGGGATGTGCAGGGGAGGCGAGCATGCCCACAGCCCCTGCCCAGAGCTGCCTCCCTGACTCTGCTGTCCCAGGGCTTAGAGTCGGGGAGACCTGGGTTCCAGTCTCAGCTCTCCTCTGATCAGCTGTGTGACCTCTCATGAGTCACTTAATTCTCCCAGCTTCAGTCTCCTCATTTGTAGGCTGAGAATGAGAAATTTAACTACCTGAGGCTGTTGTGAGAATTAAAGAGTTTTAAGCTGGGAAAAATGCTCAGGACGATGCCTGGCACAGAACAGGTCCTCAAAAGGTGACATCTTACCTGAAGTTGTGATGAAGCTGCAGGTTGGGAGTAGAAGAGGTAGCCTGGTTCATTGTGCCAATTATGTAAGGGCTGTGGGGGACATGAAGGAAAACAGGACGCCGTGAATGAAAGCCAGAGCCTGTGGTCTGTGTTTCACAGACGGCTGGCTGCCTCCCCAGCCCCCACGCTGACCCCAGCCATGCGTGTGTACAGCTCCCCCTGCAGCACATGTCACATGGGCCATTCTCCCGGGGACCACGGGGCCTGGCTCTGGCCTTTACCATCTGTGGTCCTTGCAGTTGAGCAGCCCGTTGAAGATCTCGCCCAGAGAGCTGACGTGGTGCAGGTTGTCCAGGACGATGACAAGAGGCATGTCCGCAGCGTTGTTCTCACTGGTGCACTGGTCGGCAAGGTTGGACAGGTACTGGCGCAATTCCTGCACAGGCCAGGGGAAGGACAGGTGGGTGAATGCACCTGATGAAGACGCACGTGCTCAGAGCCTTCACTTTGCCCAGGCTAACGCAGGGGGACAGGCCCTCCATGGGCTGCGCGCTGCCTGCTGCCTGCTGCCTGCTGCAGGGGGTCGGCTTGTGCTGTGTGGGGTGGACAGGGGTGAGCAAGGCCTGTGTCTTGCCTTCTGGCATTCACTAGGTAACCGAAAACCTTCAGCCCTGGGCAAGAGCGCAGCCCCATGGAGGGTGCCAGGCCTGGTTCTCTATCCCTGTTCTACCACGTCTCTGTAGGTGTTGCCATTTTCCTTCAGTATTTCTTATTATGCCAACCTCCCGGGAAGCTCCCAAGGGCAGGTGCCTTTATACATCTCTGCATAAGCTGTGTAAGTTCTAGATGAAGTTTTCTTCCACACTGCCTGCCTGAGAGCTGTTTATACAGAAGCCCCTGATGGATCAATATAGCAGAGCCCCCCTCCCCCACGTACTGCCGAGCAGTGCTGTGGCAGACAGCCAGCCAACGGGGCAGGGGTAGATGAGCTGCATGCCGACGGGGCCTTGGGAGGTCTGGCTGAAAGTGTAGGCTTTGAATTGAACTGTGAAGAATGGCTGGGGGATTGGCTGGAGCTGGGGCAGAAAGCAGCCCAGCATGGCCGGGGTAAGGCCTGTGTGTCAGAAAAGGAAAGGACAGAATAATGGTGCAGCAGGGGAAAGGGCTACAAGGGTGAGGTAGGGACCGGGCAGAGAACCCAGGATGACTGCCTGGTAAGATCACCATCATCAGGACAGCTGGCCTGACCCAGAGCCTGGCACAGCTCTGAGGGCCTCACACAGATGGAACTTCTGTAGCTGGCAACCATCTGGGGTGGGTGCTATGATTACAGTGGGAAACTGAGGCACATCCAAAGTTAGGTGACTGGCCTGAGGTTGCACAGACGGCAAGCAGCGGGGCTGGACTAGGCACTGAGCACGTGGGTCGCAGTGGGGAAGCGAGAAATGAACTAGATCGACTTATGATGGCTGGAACTTCTTAGTGGGAAGTTTTGGGTCAAAGCCTTACTTCCTGCTAGCCCCATTCTGACTTTCTTCACTGGGCTTTTACAACCACCAAAGGCGAGCACACAGAAGATGCTCCTTTCCCATTAGGGTGGGGGTGACATCAATAGGGTGACACCAAAAGGTGACGCCTGGCTGGGCATCAGCCTCCGAGAGACCTCCTCACCTTGCTGGACTTGTGGTCCACGTTGAAGGTGGCGATGACCCCATCAGTCAGCTCCCGTCCCTCCCGAAGCACCAGGTACTCTGACAGCCTGTTGGCCAGGTAGGTTTTCCCAGTGCCGCTGGGGCCAGAGAGGATAATCCGCCGGTGTTCCACCAGCAGGGAGACGTAGCGCTGCAGGATGGGCTTGGGGATCAGGGACTCGAACACCAGCGAGTCTAGGCTGTTTTCCGCAAGCCCTGTGTTTGAGAGACAGGAAGTGTTTGCAGCCCTGTAGAAAGGGGAACTCTGTGCTTGCTCCACTGGGACTGCCATGACCTGAGGCCGTCCCTTTCCCGGGCACCCACTCACCTGAGGCCTCTGGTGCACAGGAGCCTGAGAGCAAACTGCCGCTGCGTCCTGCTCCTGAGCACTGTGTGCCCTGGCCCTGGCCTGGCTGACTTCCCCTCACCTCTCAGATCTGGGCCCCTGGTCCTTGTCTGTCCTCTATAGAATTCCTAAGACTCTGGGCTCTGCCAGTCTGTCTTGATTTGCCAAACTGATGGCATCTGCCCAAACCAAACCTGAGTCTCCCATGTCTGCCAGCACACTAGGGTTCCTTCCTCACCCTGTTCTCTACTGCGTGCCAGGTGCCACTGCTTCCCACACTCAGATGTACCACGAAGGTAACAACACTTTTATCTTTAAAACAAGCAAATGCAAAGTAGGACCATCCGATTGGGGGATGTGAGTCCTGGCAGACTGAGGCTGAAATGCTACCTCCCTGTGTGCCTCAGCCACAAGAGGAAACTCATCTTTCCCCTTTCCTACCCAGGAGATTCAATTAATCAGGGTGGCTGGCTTTAAAAGAGCTGGGGTCTTGATATCATGCCCAAGAGAAGATCCATCCAAGGTTACTTGCTCAAGAACCTAAGGTAATTCTGTTAAAAACTCACCTCAAGAAAGCCAGTATATGCAGGAAAAAAAATAAACTGGAGAACATTTATTCTGTTTTAAAAATTGCATCTTGCTTCCACATAATTTTTACTGAAAACAGACCCCTGTAAATGAATTTATACGCTTGTTTCTGATCCTCCCCCAACCAAGAATAGACCCTAAATGCAGTGACTGCTCCAGAATGGCCACAATGAAGGTCCCCAAATGACACATCTTGTAGGTACAGGCCTGACCTTCCTGGTTCTGAGTTCAATAGGTCCTACGCTGGCTCATACCTCGATGTGAAGCATGGGGCACAGGGTTTCTGGTCTAAACTTAACAACAGCAGGGAAACACACTGGAATACCTCTCTGCATGTGTGTTGCTGTTTCGATCTTTTGACTTAAATCCCCCCCGGGAGTGACTACTTTGCAGACGAACTCACTTCACATCAGGCCAATCACCCCCTCCCCCTGTACCACCGAAGTGAACCACCTGCAGCTCACCAGCCTTTCAGCTCAAACCCTTGAGTGGCTTTTAGTGCCCAGCAGGCATTAAGTTTCAAGCACTTCAGGAAAATACAAGAGTCAGGTATCAGTTAACAATAAACCTGGGCCAGCCCTGGAGATGTTAAAACTGTACGATGAGCTGACAGGCAGAACAGATGAGGCTCCGTGGTGGAGTGGCTCTGAGGCGGGGTGGCACATTCCTCCAGAGGCAGAAAATCTCATCCCTGTCTCTAGAGAGGTTTGGTCTGGCCCCAGCAACAGGTCACTCTTTTTAGCCCTCAGGGCTTGTAATGCTCTCCTGTAAGTGACGATGTGTGCCCACCAGCACAGAGGAAGAGCAATTGGAGCCTGTAACGCACGAGGCTTTCCATAGAGGGTTCTTGTAGTGGAGAGCCGTTTGGTGCGCCTGGTACCCTTTCCACCGTCTCCCATAGAGGTCTGTCTTCCTGTGGGGATCTCACTGCACATGGTTTAAGTATGGCTCACCCAGCACTTTCACCCACCACAGGTGTGGGCTTATGACCTAGCTGAACCAAAGCCTCTCCCCGCTCACAATGAATAACCAGGTGATGGGCGTCTGACTCGTGGTGGGGCAAGACCACCCCTAAGAATTTTCCGTCACACTTTTCCAGAAAGACAGCCTCTTTCTTTTAGGTTTCTAAGCTATAAAGATGAATCAGGGCTCCCAGGGACATGACAGGTGCAGAGAGCTCAAAAGATAAGAGGAGGCAGGCTTGGTCCTGGTGGCACTGTTGGAACACCGGAGTCCAGCTGCGTGGGCAGCATATCCTGGATTTTCCAGGTAAAGAGCCGNATCAGGGCTCCCAGGGACATGACAGGTGCAGAGAGCTCAAAAGATAAGAGAAGTGGAGGCAGGCTTGGTCCTGGTGGCATTGTTGGAACACCGGAGTCCAGCTGCGTGGGCAGCACATCCTGGATTTTCCAGTTAAAGAGCCTTTATGTTTCCATTTTTGCTAAAGCTAGTTTTGAGTATGTCTCTGTCACGTGCAGCCCAAGCCCACAGCTGTGGACTTTCACTTGTCAACAAGGTGAGGCTAAGTGTGAGGCTCAGGCAGTGCCTTACAGCCTGTCACCACAGGGCGGGGTCTGGGCTCCTGCTGATAAGGAGTGTTGCTGTACTTTTGGAAAACCTACCAACTGGGAAACAAACTTGCATTGAACACCCCCAAAATTGCACTGTGAAAACCAGTCAAGATCAGTGCCCTCCTAGGAAAGTAAGAAACAGGGCAAGCCAGAGGTTGTAGCTAGTACAGTGTTGACTGGTCTATTCTTCAAGTGGTTCATAAAATACAGGAAAAGGGGGTTTTGCAGTCAAAATGTATTTGTGTCAGCCTGGATTAAACAGCCTTCTGAACGGCAAGAGTTAGGACATTGAAGAATAGAGCCTTTAGTGTATCAGTACACTCCTTCCCCCTGCCCCCCAAACCCAAATGGGGAAAATGATGCAGTTTCCCAGATTGATTTCGCCACAAAACCCTTTTTCCCACACAAAATACTTTGTGGGCCTGGAGTTCCAGGGAACACTCTTTGGCCTGGGGCTTAACATCTTTGGGTGATGAGGCCATCAGAAGCCCCTGCAGCATCGTGCGTGGGCAGGAGCTTCAGCAGTTTCATCAGGGTGCTTGGAGCGACTCCTCTCCGGCCCACAGCAAATCGTGGTTTCCCCACCTATAGAATGGGACCCCGTCCAAAGCTGGCTGGCAGGAATGATTCATTGGCATTGGTGGAGCCCCATTTCAACAAGGTTATTAAGATTCCATCATCTCAGAGTCATCAGGCTAATGGGAGCTTTTGTTATATAATTTCAGCAATAAACTAAAATTATTTGTTTCCGATGGTGGTTGAAAAAGTTAAAGATGGTTTAACTTGCTTAGGTAAGAATCACTGTGGTCAAAGGGAAAAAAACAGCACAACAACCCACATCCATATGCACAAACAAAACTGGCCACAGTTTGCTGAGCCAAGTCACAAAACAAAAAACACAATTCCTGGAAGCTCCGGCCTCTGCCATCGGTGAATTACCTTTGACGGCCACGGAGATGGTAGTGTTCTCTCCCACCAGGTAGCCACAGGGCAGAAGCTCAGGGGTCTCGGACGTGTTGCTGCGCTTGACTTCCCCGATGCTGTAGCCGAGAACACTATCCGAATTCAGCCCTAGCTGACTCACTGGGTCAACATGAATGATGTATTCCTGGAAAAAATAAAGAATCCATCAAAGATGTGTCTAAAAACCTGCCCGTGACTCATGTTTTCATTGGGTGATTTATAATCATCTTGTCTTCTTTCTCAGCCGAGGCCTGAGTTGAAATCGAGCTATGGAGTGAGGGGAAAAGACTGACTGACTTTCATGGGGACGGAGCCTCACTATTACAGCCATTGGGAACGTTTAGTCTGGATCAACCAAGCATGGAAAAGTTAGGCTGCCTTTCCTGAGTTCAGCTGAAGTCTTGAAGGCATCAGGACCTGTGAATGATGCTGGAAATTCATGAAAAAGTAACTCTGACAAGAAATCTCTCCACTAGCCCCTTCTTTTGGCTCAGAGAAAAGACCATACTGGTGACAAAAGGAGCAAAACTCAGGGCTGCTAGAAAAAAAGCAGCTCTTGGAGCTTTGAACAGGAAAATGTGCCCTTCATTTGGAAAGGGTTCCCTCATAGGCGAGTGACCTAAAGGCTTTAGGTCAGTGAACTTGGATTGAAGAGCCATGGGCTACGGGCTGAGATGTCCAGGTGATGGCCAAGGTGGAATCCCAATAACAGACCTCTACCTTAGTGGTCTCATTTCCTCACATGTGACACCCCACACGTTCTTCTCAGCCCAAAGTGTTGTCTTTCTAATCCAAAGATGTCCGATGGCCCATCAGCAGAGAGAAGGTTTTGGCCTGGGCAGCAGGACTGGGCTGCCCTTAGCCATGAATATCTCCTGCCTACTCACATTTCTATGGACTGGCCTATGAAGATGATGAGCGATCTTTGGTCAAAGAACAGAATTTCCTCTGTGTGAAGTCACCTGAATCTAGATGCTAGAAATAGGCTGGAGTGTAGTTAAGCCAGAAGCCAGGCCAACTCAACTAGACCAACAGAGTATAGTTTTGGATCTATGGCTTTGGACACATGACCCAACCTGAGCTTGACCATCTTCATCTTTAAATGGGAAATTAATAGAACCTTCTTCATCGGCTCGAAAAGAAATTGGGACGATGTGAGGAAAGTGCTTAGCACGGTCTCAGGCACAAAAATGTGGGCCATCAGTACTGCTCAGGGGATATGATTAATGAACAATATGGCTATTGACTTGCTTCAGGACAATAGAAAGACGTCTACCAACGCTTCTTTTAAACCACACTGTATTTCAAGGTTCATTTCAGTACTCATTGGTTATCCTGTGGTAAACATCCACTCCAATGATGTGATTGGAATAAATACAAAATAACCATTCCAACATCCTGGCACTGGCCATTGATCAGATGTTAATGTCTCTTGTAGCACAAATCACAGAATGAAGTGCTGGCAAAGGCATGGGCAAGTTGATCAAATGCTCTGACATAAAGAACGGAATCTGATGTCTTAGTCCCAGTTACAGAGCACACGCTCCAAAGCAGATGCAACCGGACAAGTCTAAGGTGAAGGTAGAATTTGGACATTCACTGTCAAGAGGTTTAAACGATTGCTCAGTGCTGGAGAAGTGACTCGCTGGCTCACCAATGACAGCCAAGGGCAGGTGGGAACCGTGTGGCCCATCAGCAGTCTATACTTACCATCTTCCTTCTGGTCATTTGAGTACCGGGGAAAAGTCCCAGCAACATAAGGATGTGGGAAAGGAGGTACCCTGAGAAACGGCCAAGTTCAGGACACAAACTGCCCGCCCCTCCCTAAGCCTAGGCTCCCGCTTCGGGTAGACTGCCAGAGCCGTCTCCTTGAAACACTTACTTTGAACAGCCGTCTAACCACCCCATCGAGCACATCCCACTTCGTCTTGCCACTAACTCCAATGCAGCCAATAAGAAAGAGGTGTGGTCTGGAATCCTAAGGGTAAGAAAATGTATGCAGGTGAAAAATAGGTGGATCTTTTCTGACAGGTTAGCAAGAACTCCGACTGTCCCAGAGCTCCACCAATGATTTGAGAGGGGAATAACATCAGATTTGTTTTAACATCAGATATAACTTAGACTGAATGCAACAATCTTAAAACCTTTCCCTGCTCTACTGCTAAAACAGCAATCTGTGGGGGAGGAAGTGAGGGGCTCCTTTCTGGAGTCTAGAACCTTCTACTAAATGCATACCTCATACAGTGCACAGATCACATCCCTTGCCTGGAATGCTCTCCCCTCTCCTGTCTGCCATTTTGTCTTTTCCAAACCTTGCTTACATACTCACCTCTTCCAGGGAGCCTTCAATGATTAATTCACCAGGCTCAGAGCTCACATTGCTTTAATGGTTCTGTACAAAATTTATACAATGACATATTCTGTACTGTTTATTTTTAGGTATTTCTGTCTTATTTGTAACTTGAGTCTGTCTTCTCTGTAGATCAGAATAGAATATGTTTCTATTTTTTCTTTTCTTCTTTGTTGTTTTCTAAATAATGTTTATTGCTTTCCTTCTAATTAAACCATGCTCAATGGAGAAAACTAATAAAACTCTGGGAAGTTTACAGAAAAATAATCTTTTTAATCTTTGCCTACAGGGCTCTACATAGTGGGGGCTAACTAATTACATTAATTAAAGGGAAGCTAGCAGAACATTGCATTCTGTTGGATTTTTAAATATCTGACATGCTCATAAGGACATATAATTAGGCAAGCAGAGGGGCTGGGGGTGAGGAGGGGTGTATCTGGCAGTTAAGCAGAATCAGCAGAGAAAAGAGCACCACCCTGCAGTGAGAGGATGTGGCCCCATCACTTGCTTTGTAACCTTAAGTAAGTGGTGCTCGGGTCTTAGGTTTCTCAATTGTAAAATGGAGCTGATAACATCTGGTCAACCAACCTCATCTGGCTTCTGCGGTGATCCGGAACCATACAATTTTTAAGGTGACTCATAAACTTTTGTCAAATGTAAAATCTATCTGTTCACACAGATAATCACTAGACTAAAACACATCCACAGGTATCACCTGCAGTTATTCTAAGAATAAAGCCCCCCCCCCCTTGACAGTCCACCACTCCACCAGCTGGGCTCTGAAAGTAGAGCTTGTCATTGGATCTTTCCAGGCTGAAATAATGCTAAAGCCCTGGTATCCCTAAAATCTGGGCCTCGTGCCTTCAGTGAGACTAGAGAGCCAGCACAAGGTGGAAACCCAGGCACACAGGCCTGGCTGCAGATGCTTTGTTTGTGTGGGTACTACAGGTTCCCTAGCTCTCAGAGACCACAGGAGCCATGCTGGCTAGGATGCTAAGAACCAACAAACAAAAAACTGAAGGGGACCTGAAATAGCGACTCATGCTGCCTTGTCCCATTATTTGTGAGACGGTCATTCACAGCATCATTTGGATTTAATCAATGGCTAAAAATAAACTTTGATGTTCAATGCCCACTTCTATCCCAAAATAGTCCCTGCTGGGGACATGGCCTCCTGAGACTCTTGAAGAGAACAGAAAGTACTCAGAAAACTCAGATTCCCCATCCCCAGCCTTGGTGGGTCAGGATGTCCCACCGGCTTCACTTTCAGCCACCTGTGTGGGCCTGGCCTTGGCCACCTGTGTCTCTCAGTGTCTGCTCCACCGCAGCCTCTGACAACTGCATGAAACAGGTGCTCTCGGTCAGTTTATTTCTGTACCTTTTGTGCTAAATGTTTAGCTGCCTTTGACGTGCTCTGGGAACATATTAAACTCAGAAAAAGCCATTGCTGAGCGATGTTAGTGTTTAGCGAGTTGCGTGACAGTGAACGTAGGGCGATTTTTACCACTCTTGATTAGACTTACCAAACACGAGAGAGGGAAGGGCTATTCGCTCACTTCAGTTTTGTCAAAATGCTGCCGGGGATTATGGTTAGTTCAGGAAAGCGTTAGTAGTATTTTCAAATCACCTTAGGTGCTGAGGTTACGGGGTTCGATGAAGAAATCGCTAAGCTAGGTAGTTCTACCTGGGGAAGGGACAGGCAGAGCAGGGAAAGGGGTCCAACTAACCTCCTTCCACTTCATTTCCTCCTGAAAGCTGACAACTATCTTAACATGCCTGCCTCCTTCCTTCCGAGCCGAGCATTCACCAGTGTCATCCAGCAACATGTCTGCGAATGGAAAACATCAACAGCCTTAGGCACATGGGACAGCAAAGCCGGCCTCCTGACACCCCCGCTGCTTGTCGACACAGCAGCGGGACAGACCAGGTGTCGGGGTGCAGGGGAAGGGGGGGTGGCAGGGAGGGGAGAGGGCAGAATGGAGAATGCAACCACAGAAACCAATGGTGGACCCACCAGGGAGCCAGCAGGCTGACGATGCACCTTGCCAAATGGAAGTGCGAGGGAGAGACGCAACCAAAATAGCAACAGCAGCGCCATGGATAAGAAATCAAAGCGTCAGCCTCGATGTGCTTACAAAAAAAAAAAACCTAGACTGTGTTTGCTAATTACTGTGCCAGCCTGCAATCCAGCCCGAAGGCAGGAAGATCAGGCCAAGCCATGGCCCCAAGTGGGACCTGCTGCCGTAGGGCTTGTACGCAGCATTCAGCTTGCAGGTCAGCCTCTTAAAATGGATCAAACAGAACTCAGCATGGCGGGCGAGGGGAGCCAAGCTCATGGCTTGGAGCACTTGAGGTGCTGGAGCAAAGCATGAGAGCAGTCTAACGGCTGGGCTCATGTTGGTAGCAGACGCACACCCAGACACGCACACACCCCAGTGCACACACGCCTGCTGCCTCCCGATTTGATCTGGTGATCTGCTTATCTTGGGGCTCTGGCTTAGAGACCGGAGTGCCAGCTGTAGGCCCTGTCCTGCCCCCAGCCCTGTGACACCACTTACCCAGGCTGGTTGACTCAGTGAGGTTCAGGCTGTGCTGGGAGAGGCCCATGGACTGCCTCGGGGAGGTGGAGAGGGACACCTGGGAGGGCGCCCGGCTGCAGCCACTGCCTTGAGACTCTGACTTTAGCCGGTCATTTTCAGCTTTCAGCTTCTCTATTTCACTCTGTGAAGAGTAAGAGAGAAGCTCATTTACCGGGTGGATAGAATGTGAACAAGCCTTTTCTGGAGGAGGGATGTGGAAGTCCCCTGCAGGGATTAAGCAGGCAGCCCAGCTGAGGCAGAGTAAGTTACACCATCAGAGGGATTCAACAGTGTTTGCTGCCTTTGCTGCATACACAGGACCTGCCTGGCAGGGGAGGGTCCATTCTTTCAGAGAACTGGCCTTTGAAAGGTCTCAAAAATGTTTCCCAAAGTCTGAGTGGCAAGTGAAAAGGAGTCTTCTCTAAGAGGCTTGAGCAACTCTGGGTTTTGACAGATTTCTTTACTGCAGGACTTCTCAGAGCCTTTAATGAGCTGCTATGCACTGTGAATTGGAGAGGGGCACGTAGTGTGCAGCATTTCCCAAATATGTCTGGTCAAGGAGCTTTCCTTTCACAGTCTCCCATTGAAGGAGTGTTCCATGGAACATCCTGTGGGAAATGCTGTTCTCCAGTGAGGTCCATTTAGAAGAACCCACAGAGGTCTTTCATTCTATGTGTATTTATAAAGAACCTATTATGTATTAAGCACTGGAGCTATGTCCAGAGAAAGGGATGCAAAAAAGAACAGCTCAGAAGATCCAAATGCCTTCAAGCTATGGCAGAAGGTGAGAGGGGCTGTAAGAACAAGACCTATAGGAACTCAGGTGAGGGCACGAACTCTCCCAGCTGCAGGACTTGGAAAGGATTCGCAGAGGAAGAGGCATCAGGCTGAGCCTTAACGGAAGGGTCCATGTGGATGTGCAGAAAGATATCCCAGTGGAGAAACAATAAAAAACAGAAATTCGTGGGCATGCAAAGGGAGCAGTTAGTGGCTCCCTCTGGCTGGCGAGGAGAGTCTGGAGAGTGGAGTTGGTGGGGTGGTGGGTGGGGGATTGAGAGCCAGAAGGATCCTGTAGAAGGCCTTGAAGGCCAGGTGAAGGAGGCTACAACACTTGCAGGGGGCAACAGCAGAGCTGCTGAGAGTCTTACACAAAAGAGGGACAGACTTACTCTTAAACCTATGGAAGACTGCTCTGTGAGCAGTATGTGGGAGGGCCTATAAAAGGAAAGGCTGGGAGAGCAGAGGGCTGCTGAGTGGCCTTGGGGGAGTGGCCTGGGAGTAGCCTTGGGCCCCGCCCGCACCCCTGGGCTCGCACCTGCATCCTGTTCATGGCCTCCCGGAGCTGGTCCAGCTGGTGCGCGGAGCTGAGGGCCTCCAGGCGGATGTCCGTCAGTTTCATCTCCTTGTCTCTCAGCTCGTTTCGGAGCTGCATGACTGTCTCGGCCTCGCTGTCCATGCACTCTGAAATTCTAGGGAAAGAGGACCGTTACTGACAAAGGTGGCCTGGGTTCCTTTCCTTCCAGGCCTCCACTGACTACTGACCCGTGTCCATCATCAGGTTTGTTCAGCAGTAACCCTGTATAACCAGCTGCCTGGGCTTCCTGGTATCAAAAGCACCTGAAATGCACAGATTTTATGGCTTCTCTACACTCTATCTTTGTGGAGTTCTGGCAATCAGAATGGTTTTGTTGTGTGCCTGTTAGCAAAATCCCAACAATCTAAAGATAAACAGAGCCAGCAAAAGGGAGGAAGGAGTAACCTCGGGAGTCTGACCCATCCTCACCCCCTGCCAGTGTGTGCACAGCTGGGCCCCTGTAGTGACACATGGCCCTTGAGAGCTAAATCCACTCAGAGAAACCAGGTCAATTATCTGTTTTAAAGATTAGATACTCCAGGGTCAGAGAGCTGAGGGGGTGCTTTTTATTTGCCATAAAAAGAAACCTAAAAATACGGATGGATGGAGTTAGTTCTGTTAGCCACTAAAACCCACTCCCCTAAGTGTCTAGAGAGCAACATTCTTTCATTCCCCTACCCCCAACCTGTTTAATACGCTCGTGGCAAGGAAGAGAAACATCTCAGTTAGCAGAGACCATGATGTGACCTGGAAACCAAAGTTGTATCTGAAAAGTATGCAACAGTGTGGCTGGTTGTCTTTCTTTTCCAACTGCACCCAGATCAAGGGGACTGTGGGACCCCGCAGAGTCCTTTTTTCTTAAGAAGTGGTCCTTCTAGGATGGGTTCCTTATTCGATTTAGTTAGGTTTGCTCTTCGGATACCTGGCAAGTCATCACAAAGGGGAAGATCATAAGAGTCATGATGAATTGTAATGTTAGAAAAGATGGTTCTATTAAAAACAAGCTCTGTTGATTTCAGAGATCCAGAGGGGTGATCCAGAATAGGAAGCTCTGACTATCTTGGACTGCAGAAAAAAAAAAAAAACCACCACCAAAAAAACCAAACCAAATAACCCCAAGTTCATAAAGTCACAAAGCTGAAGCTGATTATCTCTGAAAGGCAGAGTGAACATGTGGTCTCTGCAGAAATAATCATGCAGCCTGTCTATAAAACCCAAGTACGTGATCTGGGGCCAAGCAAAACCTGACCTGTAAAACTAGTGGAGGGTGTGGAAATGCTAATTGCCAAAGAAAAACCATTTATAATTGTTAAAAGAGATATACTTGTACTTCGAGGGCAGAAAGGCTAGAAGAAAAGTTAACACCTGAACAGCCAAATCTTTTTGTTGCTAGTTTCTTGACCTGCAGCTGAACTATTCAATCTGAAAGATACAAAGAGAGCAATACCATCTCCTATTTTTAGAGTTATCAGTAGACAAGACAACTTCTCCACTTCAAAATCTACTGAAACCTCCAATGGACTCCTGAAAATGTCAGAATCATTCCCTATGAGAAACTCAGGCCGACAGATTTGGGACTAAATGGGCTAGAGGGACAGAAATATCTTTAGAATTCAGATCATCCCTTCCCCCCTCAGCTCTGTGCTGTGAATAGCCAGAGGTTTATGAGGTTTAACTATAGTCATACTTTTTTGGGTTTGGGAGTTGTACAGTGGGAACTTGCAAAAACTGGTTCTCCAAAGGAACTATAGTTTCCTGATTCAAATGGAGTATAAAGTCTGAACTAGAGTCCAGTGTGACGCTCTGGTCTTAGCCAAACCAAGCCCTGCACAGATCTCGAAGGCTCCAATCCGTTGCAGAGAACAGCTGGCTCTGGTTCACGCTGGGTCAGGCTGGGCCGACTGTACCCACAGCCAGGCATTCTGCTCCAGTCACCTCCACAGGGTCTGTACCTTCTCCCTAGAAAGTTTTCTCAGCAGGAAACACAGTAATTCCTCAGCACACACCCATTCTGTGGAATGTAGAGCATGGGTAGCTTTGCAAAGCTTGGCCAATGATTCTACAATGGGAAGTAAACCAAAACGAAGTTTGCACAAGGCCCTCCCGTGCTCCCTCCACACGGGCGGGTTCTCAGAAACACACAACTGCAAGGCCATGTGGGAGGGATGTCCGACGACACAGAGATGATGGTGTAAACAAGGTCTCCTGCAGCAGCTCTGGGAGCAGCTCCTATCCCCACTGCCAGGGCAGGCCCTTTCTCCCCTGGTTCCTTCCCACACTAGCCCTGGATGTCACTAACAGTCACTCCCTGCACTCAGTAGTCACTCAACACAAATCTGTTCACTTCACGGGCCACTTACTGAAGCAACCAGATGTGTATCTTTTCCACTCAGCCCCTAACGCGTTATTCCAGCACATTCCTGCTGTCCTGTCTGGAAGGCAGGCTGGTGGCATGCCTAATTTTAAATGCCTCGAGTGTGGGAAACGCTGCCTTCCCACAGCACCATTCCTGTCGCCCACAGGGTAGGGCCTTTTCTAAGTCCCGCTCCTCTGCCTTTGGTTTCTTCTTTGAACTCCCTCTCACAACTAGATTTGCATTCTTACAAACCCTTCAAGGTTGGAAAGAAGCATTTGCTCTCTGCCCACACTTTGGAAAAGTAAACCCAAAACAAACAGCTCCAGTGTGCATGGATGCTGTGGAATGTCCGAAAAGCGCTGGGGAGCCAAGAGTCGGCCCCGCCCGACCCCTGTGGGAAAGTGGGTTAGAGGGAGAGTTCTCGAGATGGTCTCCAGGGTCCTACATGGCTGCGGGCATGTTCACCACTCTCTGTTCATCTTATTGCCTGCCCAGCAGCACCAGGCCCAGTTAGTACCCCGGTCTCCAACGGTTTCTTCTCTCTGCTCCTGGGTTTCCTCCCACCTTGCTGGCTGCTCTACTTTCTCTTCCTCAAATATCAGAGTGTCCAGAGCTTGGTCCTCACCCCATCTCCATTCAACCCCTGGGAGAATCCCTCCAGTTTCCCAACTTTCAACACCAGTGATAAGCCCACGTTACCTCCACGAACTCTGGGCTGGTTGGCATCTCCCTGTGAATGTCCCCTGGGTGTCTCAAACATCTCCATGTACTTTCAACTTTTCTTCCAGAATATATCCTCATCCACCCAGGACTCACCACTAGCATCAGTCACTCATTCATTCCACCTAATATTTGAATGTCTGCAAAACCAACAGAGTGGCTTCCTCCACAGAGCTTAGGCTGTAGAGTTTTGGGTGGTGGTGGTGGATGGTGGGGAGACAAGGAAAAAATAACCAGGAAAAATGTAAAGAACAGGTTGGTGATATTTGCGATAGTAATAAATGAAATGGGATGGGGAGGGGGTGATAGGGCCTGCTGGCTGGTGGCAGGAGGTGTTTTTTGAAAAATGCATAGGCAAGGCCTGACTGACAAGGTAACATGGAGCAGCCGCTTGCAGGAAATGAGTATCTTGGGGAAAAGTGTACCAGCAGAGGGCACAGAAAGGGCAAAGGCTAGAGGTGGGGAGTGGGACCAGAGTGTTCAAAGAAGAGGAAGTGGCCCAGAGTGGGGTGGATGAGGGGAGCGTACTATCAGCCTCTTATGTGATCTCCCTTCCTCTACTCTTGCTCCCCTATGTACTCCTTATTCACAAAATAGAGACTGACCTTTGCAAAACACTATTTCAGATCTCACATTCCTGCTTAAAACTCTCCGACTTCTACCCATCATATGAAATCATATGCAAATAAACTTCAAAGCCTCATGTGTTATAGACTCCACCTATCTCCGTGGCCTTGTTTCCCACTTTCCCATCACGTGGCAGCCACGCTCGCCATCCCCCTTTTTCAGACACCCCAGGCCTGTTTCCACCTTAGGTTCCTTGAGTCAGGAAGGCTGTCTTGCCCATTCCCTTTCCCTCCCAGCACACCTATTTCACATCCTCTTTGCAGGTGGGGTGGCCCCGAGTCCTGCTCAGTGGACTGTGGGAAGAGGTGACGTGCGTCTTCCAGACGTGGTCCATAAAACCCTCCTGAAGGATCCTCTGCACTCTCTCCTCTCCCACCTGCTGGCTGGACACAGAGCAGCCAGCAGACGACTCGGGCCCTGAGGGACAGCCAGCCACAAGCAAAAGGACACCTGGTGCCTGCAGGCCGCCTGCTGAGGAGCAATATCTGCACTGAGCTTGGAGTGAACCAGAGGTAAACATTCACATGCAAAGCCCTGAGCTCTGGGACTGAGTCTGTGATAGCAGCGTGTGTCCCTGACCAGGACGAGCCAGCAGTTGCTCCTGTCATGCAGATCTCAGCTGACGTGTCCCTTCCTCAGAGGGCCTTTCCTGACCACTTGTCTAACGCTGCTGCTGCTGCTGTGGTGCTCTGTATCCCAATACACTATTTTCATCCCCAGCATTAACCCTCAGCACTATCTGATTTTTCTAATTTACTCGGATTGATTTGTTAAATGTCTGTCTCTCCCCTGGTATATGGGGTCTACCAGAGCAGAAACTCTGCCTTGTACACTGTTGTAACCAGAGCCAAGAACAGGCAGATGCTCGGAAGTGGAATAAGGTGTACTGTGCCCTGTCCCTACCAGTCCCTAATCCCCAGGGGTGGGAATCTGATGAATATCTCTTTGGTCTCTGCAGAATATCTGGAGTAGTGCCCTGCTCACACAGGTTATACACATGGTTTAAATCAATAAAGGAAGCATAGGTGAGGAGTTCCTCTTTCCTGCTCCGGAACGATGGCACATGTGACAGTCACAGGCCACTTGTCCTCTATTTACCTCTCAGGCACCCTGCAGGTCAGAAAGGACTGGCATTCTCAGTCACTGCTCTCATCCTTCACACAGGAACACAGGGCCCTGGGTGGGGCACTCGAGTCTAGTCCTCAGTGCTCCTCCTCCTCCCCCTGCTCAGGTTTTACCCTGGCCCATAAGGAAAGTGCCTCCTGGCCTAGTCTCTAATGGAAGTCAGCCCCAAGGGGCAGGGGCAATCTTCCTCACTGCTGCAGAAGCCAGCTGTGCCACCTTCTAAGTTGACACCTGGGTCCCCAACCTGGGTCCATCTCAAGCCACTCCTGACCTGTTCCTGACCTTAGAATATGGGCCTATGTTGTTAGATGGGGCACAGGGTGCTTTTAGATGGAGAATAACCAGTGGGTACTCAGTGGGAATCATGGGAGACTGACTGGGCAAGAGCAGATGACTCGTTCCTTCTCTGTAACCAGTCACCAAGGGGCACAGTGCCTAAACCAATGCCAAGTGAGCAAATGTGTGTCTCACTTAACAGAACCAGCTGTGTTCCCAAAGAGCTCTGAACAAATGGACTCATTTTAAATTTACTAGGGGAGTTCAGGGTAATGAGTAATTTTACAAAATATAGACCCTTGGTAAAGAGAATTGCCACTGAATCTGTTTTTTTAAACTTCCAATTTCTGAGTGCTGACTCAGAGAGTCAACACCAAATTATGATCAAAGAAGAAAAGGGTAGGTAATTGCTCTAAGCGTTGTCACCCAAATGAACCAGAACTTCAGCAAAAACTGCCAACACTTATAACACCATCTCCCTGTCACAGCAAGAGGGCTGTAGCCCTTTTATATCCATTTTTCTTTTTCAATCCTTAGGATAAGTAGACAACCATCACCCCAATTTGACAAAGAAATTGAAATAGAGAGGTTAAGCAACATGCCCAAGACCAACCTACTAATTATCCACAGTGATGTGGCCACTAGAACAAAAACCTGTCTCTTTTCTCTTTCAACCTCCCGAGACCCAAAACCCTGAAGGAACATGCACGGTCCTACGAAGGCAAGAGATCAAGGATCCAAGGAGCAGGTAGATCATTAACAGGGCTCCCAGCCACTCGTACAGGAGAGGGCTCCTAAGGGCCAAAGATGTCATCTGACCGGACGGACAGACTTACAGAGAGTTGGAGTGAGAGTTCCGCAGCAGTGGGGTGGAACCCGTGGAGCCGTTGTGTGGTAACTTCGGCGAGGAGGGCAGAGAAGAATCCGTCATCTCCTCAATGTCTGAGTGAGAGGATGCCGACTTGGGGGACTTCTTCTTCCCGAAAGCTTGCTTGAAGGAGCTGCGTAACTGAACAGGCAAGGCCGTCAGCCCAGCGGGGGCTGTGGCCAACCCTGGGCCTCGGCAACACGGGGTCATGCAGACAAAAGAGCAGTTAGTTCTCCCGTGTCTCCCTCCCGCCAGTGCAAACGGTTCCCAACAGCTCTCTCCAATCAGTGCACCGAGGGAAGAAGAGTTATCTGGTGTGGACAGCTCAGGGGCCTGGCCCTGCGGGACATTCCATGCCTACGCTTGGTTCAAGGCTAGATGCCAACAGCAAGACAGAGCCTGGCTCAGCGGGCGGGTGTCGAGGATGAGATGACACAGCAACAAAGCGGGGTGCTCGGACGCGGTGGCGGATGCGGATGGGGTTAGTCGTATCAATGGATGGGTTAGCTTGGTATCTGACATTAACAGTCTTGCTTACCTCATTGACCTGCCAGGGAAAACGCAAGCGAAAATGGGGAAGGGGAAGGAAAAAAGACAATTTTTAACAGAGAAAGCCAGTGACGGGGAAAGCTTCGGACTTTTCAGACACGACATGGCTAATCATAAACACCACACACAGAGGAGGTTTCCAGTAAGATCGCGAATCTTTCAAAGCACGAGGGGCACCTTCCTCCATGAGGCAAGGAAAAAGCAGCGAGTCTGGAAGTCCAGACAATCCGAGTTCTTCCAGCTTCTCTATCTGGGTGAAAAGTCCGCCCCACCTTCCTGCGCTTATCACCCTTTTGTCTCTCATCAGCCATCTCTCTATGCCTTAATATTTCTTTTTGGCATTCTTTTTTTCTCAGCAAGGAAAGGTAGGTGCACCACTGCACTGGTCCCAGCATAGCTGTATAGCTCTCTGCTCTATGTACTTAGGAGCTCCTGCTGGCCTTGTATACACACGAGATAACAAGCAGGGAACTGGACATCTCGCTGTGTTACTAAAAAAAATTGACCTTTTAAAGAAATTTATTAACCATTTTGGGAAAAAGGAACTGGTATATCACAAATTCCCCAAGCCATGAGATGGATCTGAGAATTCTAATGAGAACTTAAGGAATTAAAATGCAATGTCTTCTCTGAGAGCCACGATAAGCATGTAATTTTCTAGGCCCAAAAATAAAGTTATGTCTTGAAAAAAGGTCTTTTAAAAAGTAATCTCCTTTTCCCCTCAATCCTTGCTTCTACCTCTGGTGAAATGCCACGTAGAAGAAATGACAATATTTAGATAGAATTAAACATAGGGATTATCTGAGGATGCAAATTATCCATCCTCCCTAATTGCAATGCTAACCAAGAGTAATCTTTAAAGCAAAATAAGTAAGTTTTATTTCTTAAACTGAAGAAAATGGGTAGTCATGTTTTTTTGTAGAAATGAATCCTCTCTCACCACTTTGATAATCAAACCAAACCATATTTATCAATAGTGTAGTAGAAACAGCAACATGAATTAATTCTACTTGTTTAACTCATAGCAAGAGTTGACTAAAAGCCATGAGTCACTTAAAGAAAAAATTCCATCGGAATGAAGAGAGACTCACACTACACTGGCCTTTTAGCTTGCCCCCGGCACAAGTCATCAGTAACCAAAATCACTAAGTCCTTAACTCCTCTCTCACTAGACCTCGCCACCCATCCAAGATAACACAAAATGAGCGAGAAGTGTGTGGAATGAACAAGGACATTAAAGCTACGATGGAAACACGATGCTGGCAGCGTTGACAGATGGGGCCTCTGAGTACCGGCCAACGTCAGATCCACTTGGGCTGAAGGCAGGGAGCAGCGAATGCCCGACACACCTCCGCTGCCTCGATGGCAGAACTAAAGACTGGGTGGGGGGAGAGGGAGTGGAACTGCCCTAGGAGAATGGGAAAAACTGTCCAAGATGCTCCTGCACAGAAAGTCAAGGAGCTCATTGGGATCATGGAAACATGGAGAAATACCACACTGGAGACGGGTTCTATTAAACTTGCCATTTTGAGGCATAATCCCCCACCCCGAGTTTAGAGCCATTCACCAACTGTTAACATCACCATTATGAAACTTTTACTTATAGGACAAGGCCCACATTTCTCAAAGGGAAGGGTGGTTTAAGGCTCCCATAGGCAATTGTGTGAATAAACAGATAAGGATTATGATAAACATTGGATAATTGGTGATAACACTCCCAAAATACTTTGGAACTAAAGGAAATTTGCTCTAGTACCTGGACCTTTCCGGCCAACATATGATGAAGAAGAAATGACACATATATGAAATGAAAGATGAGTATTTCACATAAAGTCTCATGAAACAGAAAAACTACAAGGTGGTGGGGATTTCGTAAATCCTAGCATTTGGCTGAGCACAATACTGATTTTAGTAGAAGCCTGTCCACAAAGCACTCCTTTGGATCTACTCTGGGTCTATATGTTGAAGTTAAGGGCCAGCCTGGGCTTTATCTGGGGGGCCGCTGGTTCTAAGGCTGGCTCGTCGGTACCCACAGGAGTCTCTGGATGCAGACTCACCCAGTTCTTTCTCTTCTTTTTCTTTGAGTCGTTTTCTATGTTGCTGCCCACGCTGGAGTGGCTGGTGGCGCTGTTGATGCTGGAGACGCTGTCGGAAGAGTGCTGCCTGCGGATGCGGAGGTCTGTAGACTGGGAGGTACCATTTCCTGCAGATCCAAGGCAGGATATCAGCAGCTGCAGCGCCGAGCCCATCCTTCTGTCCCAGGGAATAACCCTCACACCTAAATCCACACACCCAAGGTCCACTAGGTGTCTCCCATTAGACATTACCTTCTGCTCCTCGCTGCTGGCATTAAGGTCCTTGAGCAGGTACGTGCTATACTGTACAGTCAATTAGATGAGGGCATAGTTTCTCTCTCTCCACTTTACATGAGTACATGGAGGCTCAGAGAGAATTCTCCCAACATCAGCTCTCTTCAGCTTTAGACAGGCATTAAAATCAGTTTTTTGAATTGCAGCAATAGTTACCTATGTTTTTAGTGCCCCTCTCCTTACTGTACTAGCTTCTTTTACCCCCTTGGAAGTGCTGAGCCCATTTCATCTCAGGGACCTTACAAACACTATTTCCGCTCCCTGGAACGCTCTTTTCCCTCCACTCTGCCTGGCCAGCTCTTGCTAATCCTTCCCATGTCAACCTTATCATCAAGTTCTCAGGAAGCCTGATATCTGAAACAACAGTGGTACCACAAATAACGCTGCCTGAAATGTCAGTGATTCCAAAATAAAGTCTGCAGACAGTTTCCCTCGTGAACACAGAACTATACCTGCAGCCTGGATTTTAAGAGCACCAGTTTCAGAGTCCAACAGACAGGTTCTAGTACCACTTCTGCTTCTAACTACTCTGGGACCTCAGGACATGTGACTCTCGCCTCTGAAACTCAGTGTTCCCCTCAGCACAATGCAGAGAGGGCCAGTGTTGCACTCCTAAGTGTTGTGGAAGGAAAATGAGATCATTAAGTAAATAACTGAAACACTGAGCACAACGCTCAGAATACAGTGAATGGTCCATAAATGTCAGCTATCACTATGACTTCTATTATTACTGTTAATGTCAGGAGAAAACTCATCCTCATGTCTACATTGTCACCTAAGTAAGAGATACAAGGACAAAGCAATGCACTCAGAAATATTTTCCTGGACAAACATGGGATGAACCCATTTCAGGCTGTCCCACATCAATATATAATTATCAAAGCATTAGTGACGATAAGGGCTGTGAAATATCATGACACTCTGGCAACAGTAATACATTTTCTCCCATTTTTGAGAAACATCAGAGAAGAGGTCGAGATGGGACGGCTATCATCCAGAGGGCAGAAGTACTGGATGAAGTATTTGCCTTCCAGGACCTGCCCAACCAACAGGGACATCCAGCCTCAGGCAGGGAGGTTGCGTCATTCATTGTCGGGGAGGGTTCCT